GGGGACACTAGTAAAAGTGTATGTTTACTATATAAATTCCATCTCGTTCGGGGGTTGGTAGACTTTCTTCGTGGAGGCTCCCCCCCCCCCCCCCCCCCCCCCCCCCCACCCGAAGAGATGCCTGGAAGAAACTCTGACTTTGCTGCCCGTAAACACCTCAGCGTTACGCACAAAATCAGTAAAAATGTTTTCTTGTTTTATCTATATCAAAACTCTTTCGAAGGCCGATTTTGTATGTTCTTTTTTTTTTTTAAAGCCCTTTATTTGTTTACTAGTTTTATGCTTTCTTAAGATCTGACCTAAAAAAAATGCTACACGTGTTAGCCTACCTGTTTAATGCGTCATGAAATCCAGCATGTAAAAATTCTCCAACAGTTAGCCCTCTTTACTTTCTCTTATATACTAACTATAGAGAAAGTATTGTAATCGTGCAAAAAAAAATCGAGATTTTTACAAATCTCGACGTTTTACACCTAACTGATACGGAAAAACATAATTTTGCAATCTTGTCCGTATGTCTGTGTGTCTGTTTGTGTGTGTGTCTGTCTGTCTGTCTGTGTGTAAACACGATAACTTTAGTACCGTTACAGGCTAGGTTGATGAAATTTTATATTTAGGTATTTTATCAAAATCGTAGATCCGTATCAACTTTTGAGCGATTTCCGATAACTGGAAGTGGTACTTTTTCTACTTTTGAATTTTTCAAAAGCTATAACTTGAGTACTATTTCAGATAGATAAATGAAATTTCACATGCAAGTAAAAGATCTAATTCTCTACCTTCTACAAATTTTGAGCAATTTCCGTTGACCGGAAGTAGGCTACTAATCTACGCTCTCACTCCCGGTTTATGTTTAATGTCGTCGAAATAAGAGGTTAGATAAATTGCTTTGTTTTAATATAAGGTTATAGAAATTGCTTGGATTTTAATATAAGATCAAATAATTTGCTAGGGTTTTAATATAAGGTTATAGAAAATTGCTTGGATTTTAATATAAGATCAAATAATTTGCTTTGGTTTTAATATAAGGTTATAGAAATTGCTTGGATTTTAATATAAGATCAAATAATTTTCTAGGGTTTTTAATATAAGGTTATAGAAATTGCTTGGATTTTAATATAAGATCAAATAATTTGCTTTGGTTTTAATATAAGGTTATAGAAATTGCTTGGATTTTAATATAAGATCAAATAATTTTCTAGGGGTTTAATATAAGGTTATAGAAATTGCTTGGATTTTAATATAAGATTAAATTAATTTGCTTTGGTTTTAATATAAGGTTATAGAAATTGCTTGGATTTTAATATAAGATCAAATAATTTTCTAGGGTTTTAATATAAGGTTATAGAAATTGCTTGGATTTTAATATAAGATTAAATAATTTGCTAGGGTTTTAATATAAGGTTATAGAAATTGCTTGGATTTTAATATAAGATTAAATAATTTGCTTTGGTTTTAATATAAGGTTATAGAAATTGCTTGGATTTTAATATAAGATTAAATAGTTTGCTAGGGTTTTAATATAAGGTTATAGAAATTGCTTGGATTTTAATATAAGATCAAATAATTTTCTAGGGTTTTAATATAAGGTTATAGAAATTGCTTGGATTTTAATATAAGATCAAATAATTTTCTAGGGTTTTAATATAAGGTTATAGAAATTGCTTGGATTTTAATATAAGATTAAATAATTTGCTTTGGTTTTAATATAAGGTTATAGAAATTGTTTGGGTTTTAATTTAAGATTAAATAATTTGCTAGGGTTTTAATATAAGGTTATAGAAATTGTTTGGGTTTTAATTTAAGATTAAATAATTTGCTAGGGTTTTAATATAAGGTTAGATAAATTGCTTGGATTTTAATATAAGATCAAATAATTTTCTAGGGTTTTAATATAAGGTTAGATAAATTGCTTGGATTTTAATATAAGATCAAATAATTTTCTAGGGTTTTAATATAAGGTTATAGAAATTGCTTGGATTTTAATATAAGATTAAATAAATTGCTAGGGTTTTAATATAAGGTTATAGAAATTGCTTGGATTTTAATATAAGATTAAATAAATTGCTTTGGTTTTAATATAAGGTTTATAGAAATTGCTTGGATTTTAATATAAGATTAAATAAATTGCTTTGGTTTTAATATAAGGTTATAGAAATTGCTTGGATTTTAATATAAGATTAAATAAATTGCTTTGGTTTTAATATAAGGTTATAGAAATTGCTTGGATTTTAATATAAGATTAAATAAATTGCTTTGGTTTTAATATAAGGTTATAGAAATTGCTTGGATTTTAATATAAGATTAAATAAATTGCTTTGGTTTTAATATAAGGTTATAGAAATTGCTTGGATTTTAATATAAGATTAAATAAATTGCTTTGGTTTTAATATAAGGTTATAGAAATTGCCTGGGTTTACACTGTTCTGTTAACATTGTTGAGGTTTCCTTTACAACTTGCTACTGTGTATGTCCAGTTCAGCTTAACGTATCAGCCATACTTGGCGTTGAATGAAAGGGAGAAAAAATTATAACTTCCTTACATACAACACGAAGAAATAAAGAGACAATAAAATTTATGTAAAATAATAGCGAACACGTCAATTTTTTTACAATCCTATACTACTCACTTAACTGTCAATTGCATCAGTTTTGAATCTTAACACTGATGCAGATCTGGGGGGCTACCAAATTGAGGCATCTCAGAGTTGTTGACTTTAGAGACATTTTGTAAGAATATAATTTTATTTCATAGAAAGAAAACAAAGGAGCTAAAATTGTTCCAACTACATTGATTTTTACATGAAAAAATTTAATTTTTATAAAAAAAATTAATATAATATTTTAACGTTTGCTGGTATCAAATATAGCTATATTTTTAAGAAAACAACATCAATTATTATTTTGTTTTTTGCTTTTTACACAAATTTAGTATAAGGTAACTATAATAAATTTAAAAAGTAACCCTTTTAAGTTTACTCAAATTTCTATTCTTTTTTTTTCAAACTGTGGACTTTTGGCTATTGTTTTTTCCCTTGGCAGTTGATAGCGAAGAGTTATCTCTATTATGCAGTCACACAATATTGATTGAAATATCGTTTTCAATTTTAAAACAGTGCAAACAAAGGATTTTCTAATTTTTTTTAAACAAGCTGACAACATTTTTACAATACTTTATAAATTAATTTGTATAAGAAAAATTAATATAAAATTTTAACGTTTTTGATGGTATTAAATAGAGTTAATTTTTTAAGAAAATAATATCAATTTTTTTATAATTTTTTTTTAAACCACTCTAATAAGATAACTAAAACATTCTTTATTCTAGGTAAAGCCTTTAGTAAAACAATTTAATTTGTATTAGATAAATGAAATTAACATTTTAACGTTATGATGGTATTAAATATACTTAAATGTTTAAGAAAATAATATCAAATATTGCTTTTATTTGTTTTTCACATCACTAGTATAATATAAATAAAATATTTTTTTAAAAAGTAACGCTTTTAAATTGAATAATATTTTTATTCTTTTTTCTTCAAACTATGGACATTTGGCTACTGTTTTTTTTTTCCTTGACTGTTGATAGCGAAGAGTTACCTCGATTATGCAGTTACACACTTTATTCACTGAATTATCGTTTTAAATTTTAAAACAGTGCAAACACTGGATTTTCTTTTTTTTTTTAAACAAGATGACAACATGTGTACAATACTACTTTATTGTTTTTATTTTTCATAATACCGATATATGCATTGGACCCAGTGGCGTAGCGAGGTCGGGTGTCACCCGGTGCGGCACTTAATGGTGTCACCCCCCCCCCCCCCCCAGAGGCTTAGCGAATCTTCCCGGGGACAAACTTTCAATTTTCGATTTGCACCCCCCACCTCAAACTTTCGATTTGCACTCCCCCCCTCGAACTTTCAATTTGCACCCCCCCCCTCAAACTTTCGATTTGCACCCTCCCCACCCCCCCCCCCCCCCCCCCCCCCCTCAAATTTTTCTCTATATATTTTACTATTTTTGCCTTGGTGTCACCCCTCTAAATGGTGTCACCCGGTGCGGTCCGCACCCCCGCCCCCCCCCCCCCCTCGCTACGCCTCTGATTGGACCTTTTACATGTTAATGACAGATATATTTGGATATTTTCAAAAATTATTTTGAACAAATTTTTGTCTCGTCTGCAGTTGGTGCCATGCTAGTCGTCTGCTTCACCTCATAGCTCACCCATGTGTTCCGACGATGCACCCGGTTAACTGTCGTCTGCTACTGTCAAGTTTGCTTGCTTACGTCATCCACACCACCGGTAAGCTGTTTACTATTTCCTGGTGCTACCATCGCAGGATTTGAGTGGTGACACTTGTCTCACCATTATGGAATTCGGTGGTGACATGCGTCTCACCACTGCAGGGTTTAGCTGGTGATTTTGGTAACTGTTGTGTTAGGATGGTGACTATGGTTTCACCATTGCAGGATTCTGGTGGTGGCATAGGTCACGTTTTATAAGATATGGGTGGTGACACTCGTCTCACCATTGGTGGTGACACTCGTCTCACCATTAGAAGATTTTGGTGGTGACACTCGTCTCACCATTAAAAGATTTTGGTGGTGACACTCGTCTCACCATTACAAGATCTTGTAATAGTGACACTCGTCTCAACATTAAAAGATTTTGGTGGTGACACTCGTCTCACCAGTAAAAGATTTTACTGGTGACACTCGTCTCACCATTAAAATATTTTGGTGGTGACACTCGTCTCACCATTAAAAGATTTTACTGGTGACACTCGTCTCACCATTAAAATATTTTGGTGGTGACACTCGTCTCACCATTAAAAGATTTTACTGGTGACACTCGTCTCACTATTACAAGATTTTGGTGGTGACACTCGTCTCACCATTACAAGACGTGGTGGTGACACTCGTCTCACCATTAAAAGATTTTGGTGCTGACACTCGTCTCACCATTACAAGATTTGGTGGTGACACTCGTCTCACCATTACAAGATTTGGTGGTGACACTCGTCTCACCATTACAAGATTTGGTGGTGACACTCGTCTCACCATTACAAGATTTGGTAGTAACACTCGTCTCAGTTGACAAAAGTCAACATTTTCATCGCTATTAGTATTCTATTTTTTAACATTGAATTTCAATGACAAAACCGCAATATTTAGGTACATGTACTGTATAAATCCGTCCACTTGAAGCAATCGTGTTGTGTTTTTTATAAACAAGAGCATGTTCTCCTTATTGAAAGCGGTCGATGTTAAGAGTATGTAGAGAGTATATTGGGAAAATGTAGAGAGTATATTGGGAGTATGTAGAGAGTATGTTGGGATTATGTAGAGAATAGGCTATGTTGTGAGTATGTAGAAAGTATATTGGGAGTATGTAGAGAGTATGTTGGGAGTATGTAGAGAGTATGTTGGGAGTATGTAGAGAGTATGTTGGGAGTAGTAGAGAGTATGTTGGGATTATGTAGAGAGTATGTAGAGAGTATGTTGGGATTATGTAGAGAGTATGTTGGGATTATGTAGAGAATAGGCTATGTTGTGAGTATGTAGAAAGTATATTGGGAGTATGTAGAGAGTATGTTGGGAGTAGTAGAGAGTATGTTGGGAGTATGTAGAGAGTATGTTGGGAGTATGTAGAGAGTATGTTGGGAGTATGTAGAGAGTATATTGGGAGTATGTAGAGAGTATATTGGGAGTATGTAGAGAGTATATTGGGAGTATGTAGAGAGTATATTGGGAGTATGTAGAGAGTATATTGGGAGTATGTAGAGAGTATATTGGGAGTATGTAGAGAGTATATTGGGAGTATGTAGAGAGTATATTGGGGGTATGTAGAGAGTATATTGGGAGTATGTAGAGAGTATATTGGGAGTATGTAGAGAGTATATTGGGAGTATGTAGAGAGTATATTGGGAGTATGTAGAGAGTATATTGGGAGTATGTAGAGAGTATATTGGGAGTATGTAGAGAGTATATTGGGAGTATGTAGAGAGTATATTGGGAGTATGTAGAGAGTATATTGGGGGTATGTAGAGAGTATATTGGGAGTATGTAGAGAGTATATTGGTAGTATGTAGAGAGTATATTGGGAGTATGTAGAGAGTATATTGGGAGTATGTAGAGAGTATATTGGGAGTATGTAGAGAGTATATTGGGAGTATGTAGAGAGTATATTGGGGGTATGTAGAGAGTATATTGGGAGTATGTAGAGAGTATATTGGGAGTATGTAGAGAGTATATTGGGAGTATGTAGAGAGTATATTGGGAGTATGTAGAGAGTATATTGGGAGTATGTAGAGAGTATATTGGGGGTATGTAGAGAGTATATTGGGAGTATGTAGAGAGTATATTGGGAGTATGTAGAGAGTATATTGGGAGTATGTAGAGAGTATATTGGGAGTATGTAGAGAGTATATTGGGAGTATGTAGAGAGTATATTGGGAGTATGTAGAGAGTATATTGGGAGTATGTAGAGAGTATATTGGGAGTATGTAGAGAGTATATTGGGAGTATGTAGAGAGTATATTGGGAGTATGTAGAGAGTATATTGGGAGTATGTATAGAGTATATTGGGAGTATGTAGAGAGTATATTGGGAGTATGTAGAGAGTATATTGGGAGTATGTAGAGAGTATATTGGGGGTATGTAGAGAGTATATTGGGAGTATGTAGAGAGTATATTGGGAGTATGTAGAGAGTATATTGGGAGTATGTAGAGAGTATATTGGGAGTATGTAGAGAGTATATTGGGAGTATGTAGAGAGTATATTGGGAGTATGTAGAGAGTATATTGGGAGTATGTAGAGAGTATGTTGGGAGTATGTAGAGAGTATATCTGGAGTATGTAGAGAGTATATCTGGAGTATGTAGAGAGTATATTGGGAGTATGTAGAGAGTATGTCTGACGTCAGAGGCTGACCTTTAACCCTAAGACGTGTACAACATCCGGGAGATTTGTGTTTCCCTCCCTGCTGAAAAACTTGCAGACGTGACCTAGGCGACAAAAATATTCCGGCAGACGACAGGATCTGTCACGTCGGCTAGCAAACCAGACACACACAGCAGACAGTCTCCAGCAGACTTTAGAAACCAACTGTCTTAACGTCTGCTTAGAGATGACGTTACTCGGCCAGCAACCCCCTCCTCCCTCTCCCCCTCCCCGCCCCACACAGCAATAGCCTCACGTGCACATCTTCTCATCATGCATAATCACGTGACAATTTGGGCCGGAACTCGCTGCGACGTCTGCAAAATGTCGTCTCAAACATGGTTCTTCTTGTTTCGATTTTCTAATCTTATAACTCACGAATTTAACGTGTGTTAAAATAAATGATTTCACGCTTGTGAGAACTTATTTTAACACCATTTTTAATCTCTTCCCCTCATTTCCACCATCTATCGCCCCCACCCCCACCCCCACCCCCACCCCTCCTCCCTCCCTCCCCCACCCCCACCACCCCCCTCCTCCCTCCCTCCCCCACCCCCCTACCGTATGCCTGTTCACTGGGGCGTACAATACGGCCAGACCAGACACGACTAGCGTCGAATCGTCAATAAAAGAGAACAGATACCGTCGCTATAGACGCTCTATTTTTTTCCCCCTGCGCCGTCTCAGGGGAGAGCATCGGGAAGAAGAAAGTTGCGTGGCGGAATTAGATTGATCTCCCCTGTCGCGGTATGTTGCCAAGAGGCTCCGCGTTTTAATGCCATTTTCTATGGATTCTGCCGCCTTTTCGCTGCCATTACTACTGGGGGAAGAGAAAAAAAAGTTTTGAAAGAATATTTTTTTTTCTTCGACAAAAAAAAAGAAACAGTATTTTTAGTGCATATTTGTGTTAAGTTATTTTCTAAAAATAACATTTAGTATGATTGTGAATGCTTTTATTTTCTGAAAATAACATTTAGTATGATTGTGAATGCTGTTATTTTCTAAAAAATAACATTAAGTATGATTGTGAATGCTGTCAATGATATGAGTAAACTGGTGACTTACATAATACACAGCATATGGTATCACACCGATATATTAATACGATAAACTCTGATTTACAATTTGTCTGGGAAAAGACAGGGATAAAATATATTACTCTTTTTTCTAAGAAAACTTCACAAATGTCACCCCCTCCCCTTCCCACTATCCCCTCCCCCCTTCCCCTTAGACAAATTATACCACTGAATGCCCGGCTAATCTAGTATTTTAATTAAAAGTTAATCAATTGAAAAAGTTCAATTTTTTATTCTGGAACCTTGTATTAAACCCCTAGTTGAGCAATTGGGAAACGGGCCTCTATAAATCAATATATTTTTCTTCTTCTTTCAAATGCCCCCCCCCCCTCACCCTACCCTCCCATTGGTTCCATTGTAAGAGTTTACATAATAGCCCGCAATTAAATCTGACTAATTGATAAGCCATGTACAGGGGAGGTCAGCGGCTAGCAATTTAATGACGTCATCACGTCTAGAATTTTCGTTCCCCCGCTGTGTCATTAGGGTAATTTTGTCCACTTTACTAAACAAGTCCGATAACTCTCCTTGCTTTTGACTGTTTTTTTTTAATGGTAGTTGATTTCTCTTGCCTTAATTTTGAGCCCCGAGTGCATATCAGAGGTTAGATGTCAGTCATTTTGTCTTGGTGGTCACATTTTAAAATAGTATAGTAACTCAGGTGTTAAGAGTAGTGGCTATGTGGTCAGGAAGATAGCACTATCTATAAGTAATTCGACTTTCTTGAGTACGGCTCCTGGTGCTAACAACACTACTGAGTCCACCAGCACTAATCAGTACCTGGCTCTAGTCGGGGGGGGGGGGGAAGATTATAGTTATGCATCATGTTATGGGACGACGTGGCCTAGGGGTAGAGCTAGACTGCTAACCCTAAAGTCTCGAGTTCGAATCCGGGTTCAAGGCAGTAGAATGTCCCTGAGTCCACCCAGCTCTGATGGGTACTGAACTCACGTTAGGGGGAAAAAACGGGTGGGCATAGTGCTGAATTTCAGTTCAAGCGGTCTCTAAAACAGATGAACTCTACTTCATCTGCCCCATGCGTCTTAGGCACGAACGGGAAAAGATGATAATGATGTATAGTGTTAATAACACTACTACGTAAGAGAAACAGATACACCGTTTGGCCGTAAAGGTACTTTGCTTTTCATTGAACGTATACCAAGTTTTTACAACTATCACAACACCGTACCACGGTTAACTAATTTGGAGAGAGTTGCATCTTGCTATTTCGAACAAAAACTTTCTCAGTATTTTTGTGTAGCTTCACCAAGTGATTAGCGTTGGGAATTTGCGGGATTTTCCCGGTCGGTTCATTAATATTTAATTAATGACTGGAGATTTCGTGGGAGGTGAGACATAGAGGCGTGGGTGGAAACAGGTCAAAACGCACTTCATTAATTAGCCATCGATCAGCTTGATTGATTTTCGTTAAGATGCGGTGAGGGGGGAGTGTGGGTGTGAAAATGGCCTCCCACACGTGGTCAGGTGAGGTTTTGGGCTATTTTTATCCGAGTTCTTTTGTCAAAGTGGTGGATTTTCTGAGTGGACTTTTTCAAGGTGTAACGTGAATCATTAAATATAGACCTGTTTTACGCAGTAGAATTTTATTTTTTCAAGGTGTAATTTAAATCATTAAATATAGACTTGTTTTATATATATAGAGTGGATTTTTTCAAGGTGTTACGTAAATCTTTAAATATAGATCTGTTTTATAGAGTGGGTTTTTTTCAAGGTGTAAAAATTTAAATCATTAAATATAGACCTGTATATATATTGTTTTTTTTTTTCAAGGTGGAATGTGAATCATAAAATATAGACCTGTTTTACGGAGGGGAATTTTTTTTTTCAAGGTGTAATTTAAATCATTAAATATAGACTTGTTTTATATATAGAGTGGATTTTTTCAAGGTGTTACGTAAATCTTTAAATATAGACCTGTTTTACGCAGTAGAATTTTTTTTTTTCAAGGTGTAATTTAAATAATTAAATATAGACTTGTTTTATATATAGAGTGGATTTTTTCAAGGTGTTACGTAAATCTTTAAATATAGACCTGTTTTACGCAGTAGAATTTTATTTTTTTTCAAGGTGTAATTTAAATCATTAAATATAGACTTGTTTTATATATAGAGTGGATTTTTTAAAGGTGTTACGTAAATCTTTAAATATAGATCTGTTTTATAGAGTGGGTTTTTTTTTCAAGGTGGAATTTAAATCATTAAATATAGACCTGTTTTATAAAAAAAAAAATTTCAAGGTGTAATGTGAATCATAAAATATAGGCCTGTTTTACGGAGTGGAATTTTATTTTTTTCAATGTGTAATTTAAATCATTAAATATAGACTTGTTTTACAGAGTGGATTTTTTCAAGGTATTACGTAAAGCATTAAATATAGACCTGTTTTACGGAGTGAATTTTTTTCAAGAGAGTTTTTTTTTTTTTTTTTTTTTTTTTTTTTTTTTTTTTTTCGCGTCAATAGATTGAATATAGACATGTTTTACTAAAAGATCAATTACGTTTGTTTTAGATAAACACACATTGCTTGTGGGATTTTTAAATCTTAGAATCCGTTTGCATTTTTTTTAAATGGACTCCTGTTAAAGTCAAGTTATTTATTAAAAATTTCACTTTTAGTTTGACATTTTAGAAGATGACTTCTGTAATTGTAATCTAAAATTTCAGGTTAAAATTAAAATATTTTTTTTAAAGACTACTGTGATAAACAATTTATTTATTTAAAAATTTAGGTTTTGGTCGAATTTTTTTTAAAACAAAAGTTTACTACTATAAAAGACAAGTTATAATTTTAATCTCATGGTTATATTGGAATTATAAAAAGATTCAGTTAAGACATTTTAATCCCACCACAAAGAGTATGTTGGCTTTATAAACATAAATGTAAACGTGACGGATGGTATACAAAATATATTTTGCCAACTGCCAGTTCGAAACCCGCTGTAATAAAAATAAATAATTGGTCGAGTCACGTGACCTACTCCAGGAAATCTTGGATAAGTTCAGGAATTCGATCAATGCAGTTCGATTGTGCCAGACTTTGATGTTCGTCTTAGCGAAGAGTTGGGACATGGAAAACATTTTACTCTTGGACGTTCGCCTGTTACTGTGGAGTCATTGATTGCCTTCCCTCGGCAATTAAAACTAACAAAAAAAAAATAATTCTTCTATTAGCTTTCTAGATGGGGAACAATTTTCAGTATAGAATGTTTTCAGTGTAAAGAAAAGTTGAAATTCTGTCTGTAGTTTCTAAGAAGTCGTTTGAGCTTGTGGGAAAATAAAATTCTTATTTGGACTTAACGTGCCGGTGTAGGTTATCCAAGGCTTCAACATCTAAGCACGATTTCCTAACATCAATTTTCGGACACAAATGGCTTGGAATTTAAAATTATTGTTTCTGAATCTTTGTTGTGTAGTGTTCATTATCTCTGTACACGCTGGTTCAAAACCAGCGAGCAAAAATGTAAAATATCCGGTCGTTGAGATTCCGTTGGAGAATCCACAATGTTGGATATCAGTTCTAGGTAGGTTCATTCCATCTTGACCATAACATTTCCTTATTTGCCTTGATCATTATATCTTGTCCACATGCTCGTATTTAATTAAACTTTATCTTATCTACCATTTAGCATAACATTTCCTTATTTGTCTTGATCATTATATCTTGTCCACTTGCTCGTATTAAATTAAACTTTATCTTATCCACAATTTAGCAAAGAAATGTTCTACAAATATTATAATAAAAATGATTTCTTAACCTCATGTTCTATGATATATTAAATAACATATTTTATACGTCGAAGTACTGCCAAATACGTCCCTTTGTAAGATTTAAATGGCCAAGCATTGCATTCAACACTGTCAGTGCAAGATTTACCGGGCATACGTGATATTAGTATGTAGCATAGATACCACCTTGGTGGCATTGAAACTATCTAGGTGACTTCGTGAAATCTAAGTGACGTCATGACCATCTACATGATGTCATGATCCATTTGACGATCATGACAATATAGGTGACGTCAAGAATATCTAGGTTCCAACATGACTAACTTAATGCGTCACTGACATCCACTAGTACTAGTAACTGTTGACTTTCAGCTTTTAAATTAAATTAATTTTTATTTTATAATACACAGCCGTGTCTAAAGCACTGAGCTTTTTTTTTTTTAAATCATAGCTATAACTTTAATCACCGTCTAATAATAAACAAAGTTTTCTTGAAATCTATAAAACAATTGTGACCTACTTAGGTCTTGTATTTTTTTATTTGACTTTTATTGCTCAACCATGAGTGACCTGTGGTGCAACCACCGGTACTTTTCCATAGTTCTAAGAAAGACATATACCCAGTACTTTTCCATCACCAGTGGTGGTGCAATACTTTTATACTTTCGATTGGTTGATTCGGACATCGGAGGGGTCCCAACCAATAGTCTTATGTTTTGAAGGTGACCTCCCATGTTGCCTCAGGTGTCAAATAGTCTGCGCACACTTTTCTGCAGGCAGCCGACCGCGGCAGTCCATAGCAGCAGTCAGATCAGACATCTTTGAGAGAGAAAGCCTTGAGTGTCGCTATTTTGTAGCCTATAGTTTTAAGCAGCATTTTTCCTTTATTACTTGTGGTTTTAAGGAATATTTTGTGCTTTAAGTAGTGTCGTATAAGCTGTGGTGATTTTTTTTGAGTGCCATATCCTGTGATAGTGTAACATAGTGTTTTTTCCTCAAATTGTAAGTTGGGTTTTGTTATTTTACTCATTCATTTTATTCTGTATAAAGCTAGAGTCTTATCTTGAATTTGTACACATATTAAAAGTTATATATATGGATTAAATGTGTTGTTGGTATCAGGAGTTCATCGATAAGTACGTCCTCGTTAACTGTTGTGCTAGCTACCATTTATAGGGCTTTAAGCCATCTGTGTGTAACCCTCTAAACGAACCCGGGTACGTTCGCCAGCTATCTGGCTGATAGAGTGGTGTTTCGTAATACAATTCATACTTCCTACTTCTAATCAACAACGAAGATGCCTATCCACATCTAAAAGACCTTTATCCTCCACAGATGGCTGCGGCCGAAATCCGGCCCGAACCAAACCCCCACCCACCACCCCGAACCCTTATGAGAAAACAACCCCCGGGGTCACACCCCCGACCACGACCGTCTACGAGGGTCACCAGAAGGTCTGCACACCCCCGGAGATCAGGGAGGCTGCATGTCTCAACGGCGGAGATTGCTTCGCGTTGGAATTCTTCGGCGTCAGATCAGCTCACTGCACGTAAGTCTGAGACTAAATCACTCCGCGGAACTTTTTTTTTGTGTGTGTATGGTTTAAGCCAGTGTGCTCTAAAGAACAATTATGGAATCTTCTTAAAAAGGATGTATGGTTTACTGGTAATAAACGTTGATGTAGTATTGCTTGTAATTATCAAAGATAATACTATCTCTTGCACAAACCCTAACCCAAGTCTTACCATAGCGATAACCCTAATTTCTATACAACCACTAAATTTATAATAACAATTCTATTAACAGTTCAACAACAACAACAACAAAATGCATATTTAAGAAGTACAATTTTAAAACATCTAGAGAAATGACCTAAAATATTTAGGCAATAAAAATTGTAACATTTAGAAATTAACTAGATCCACAACAGTTAAGAAATAAAAAATGTAACATTTGTAAAAGTTCATACAAAAATAAAAAAGTAGATTCTCTAACATCTACATAAGTCTAGATGTATAGATCATTCTGCATTATATACACACACATATATATATATATATATATATATATATATATATATATATATATATATATATATATATATATATATATATATATATATACTTTTCTGTTGTGTATATCTGTGTAACAACAAAATGTCTTTACACTTGCAGATGTTACGAGTGGTGGACTGGCAAGCGGTGTGAAAGAATCGATACCAACATTTTTGGTAAGTCTTTTATTTTATCATATATATTTTTTCTTTAACAGTTGTAACAGTTCTAACACCCTTTAGTTGGTTTTAGAGGAATGGTATTTATAAAAAAAAAATATCCACAAAACAAAAATATCTTGCTCTCGAAATGTTTTACGAAGATAAAAATGAAATTAATTTTAAAATGTATCAAATATCAATGAAGTCTTCGTCATGAATAAACTGAAGAAAAACTCCTAAGCTTTGAAAGAAAAAAATAATCTTTAAAATTGTGTATCTGTTACTACATTTTTGAAGTTAGATTAGGTACATCCCTAGTTGAAAGAAGGTTAAACGCTATGTACAATGCATTACGAAATTACTGACTTGAAGCGGGAAAAAATAATTTAATGTGCAATTTCAACTAGTCAACTACATTTTAACCTTTTTTTTAAAATCCTTTTTATTATCCAAAAATTGTAACAGATATACCTAAATGTATAGAAGATGGTAGTACTATCTGTAGAAACTGTTTTGATCGAGATTATATTTAAAATTTTAACAACTTAGTCCAAACACTTAACTCAGATTAAAACGTTTGTTCAGACTACCAATTATCTAATACTTTTAATCAAAATAAAAGTCCTGAATCCTCTTCGCTTTTGATAAAATATGTTTCTAATTTTCTAATTTTTTTATCAAAATTAAATTGACGATCTGAATCCTCAATTTTTTTTTTCATTTTAACTGAAATTCCCAAATCCAACCAAAAAAAAAAAAATTTCTAACACTCTCCCTTTTTATTTCTCTAAATCAACATAGATAACAGCGGTAAGATGGTGCTTGCTGTTCTAGCCTTCTGTATCCTAGCAACTGTATCGTAGCAACATCTTTATAGTATCATAGAAACAGCTTTATAGTTTCATAGCAACAGCTTTATAGTATTATAGCAACAGCTGTATAGAATCATAGCAACATCTTTATAGTATCATAGCAACAGCTTTATATTATCATAGCAACAGCTTTGTAGTATCATAGCAACAGCTTTATAGTATCCCATCATCAGCTTTATGATGCCCTAAAATAGCTTGATAACCTTAGCTGCATAGTGTTCTAATCATAGCTGCTGAGCTTATGTTTTCTTCATTCGTTGCCTTTTATTAATTTAATTTAATTTTCTGTTTGATCACAATTGCATCATTTCATGACTTGTTACAATTGATGATGGGGTGGATTGGGGAGGGAGGTGGGTGCCTGTGGGGTGAGGTAGGAAGGGGAATAAGGGATCCATGGAAAGATATAACCCCGGATAGAAAGGATATTGGAAAACCGGATGTTGAAACTTTTGCTCGAGTGCCATTTTCACAAAAGCTATATATTCCAGAAAGTCATTTTGCCTGAAAGCCATTCCCCAAAAGCCATTAAACAAATGCCGTTTTTTCCGTGGCCAATTAATAACGAGACAGAATAAAATACCGTATTTCAAATTAACCTTTTCACATATTAAAAAAACGTATGTTCTTTTTTTATGTAACTAAAAATAAAAAGTCCATTTGAATTAACAGATTCAATTTTTTATTTTTTATTTTTCGAATTCCTTTCTTTTCTTCGGTACATTGGTATATCGAGCATTAGGTCGTTCGGGCAATCTGCTATCGACCCATACGCAAAATAAAAACCAATACCCCGGTATTGGTAGTTTTGTGAAACTGAGTGTCAATAAAACAAGTGGTCATGTTTTTTTTTTTATTCGTCGGCTTGTTCCACCCAGGGGAGATCACAGCATTACAGATATCATTTTTCTTTCTTTTTTTAACTGTTGGGTTGCTGCCCCTTAAGGTTCATCATCTTTTTATTTTATTTAAATCCAATTATTTTCTGGATTTTTTTCTTCTCATTTAGTTTTTATTTCTGTGTGATTTTTTTAAATGCACACTTATAGATTAGCTATGTGTTATACGTGTTAGATTTTTTTTTAGCCATGCTTGTTAAAATTACGAGAAAAGTGTTAAAGCTACAGACAATAAATCTCAACTTCGAGTTGTAAAACTGCCATCAACTAAACTAAACTGGCGACATTTTTAAAATCTAAGCTTTTAAAGTTTTAACTTTATATATTTTAAAAACTTGGCGATTATTTAGACTAGATGACAATGCACGACATTTTAGATAAAAGTCAGTTAGGAATCATAGATAGTAAGATACAGTGTTTCTTCCAGACTTTTTTCTCCGGGGGGGGGGGGGGGGCACTTGAAATTTTCGGGGGGGGGGGGGGGCGGTAGACTTTCTTCGAGGGGGGGGGGACACTGTTTAAAGTATATTTTTTCTATATAAATTACATAAATTTCATTTAGTTCGGGGGGGGGGGGGGCGGTAGAATTTTTTCGGGGGGAGGGGCGGCTTAGCTGGTAAGATAGGGTTTGTAAATTGGATAATATACAAGTATAAAATAAACATTCTTTTGTAGGGCGGCCACTTCAATACCACCTATGTCGGCTCCGGTACTTCATCACTGCCAGCCACTGAGCCGCGCTGCAGTAAATGCATGCCATTTTCATGCCTAATTATAATGTGTTTAGCGTCATCTGTCAGCGCTGCATGATTTTTTAAAGTCATCATTTAAAAAAAAAAAATAATTACAATTGTTTAGATGTATTCATAAGTCTAGTGCATATTACGTAGAGTGAGCAGCTCTCATAGTCGTGAGAAGTTACGGTAGTGGGGTGTGGTAGTCCGATAGTGTCTTCACCGGTGTGTCTTTCAGGCACCCCCCCCCTCCGCCCCGAATAAAATAGAATTTATATAGAACTTTTTTTACAGCCCCCCCCCCCCCCACCCCGTAGAAAAAAGTCTGAAAGAAACACCGGCCATCGCTTGTTTAAGATCAAGTTGACTTTCTGCTGAATTTATGGAGTGGTTTTCATATATATTTTTTTTTTTTTTTTTTTTTTTTTTTTTTTTTTTTCCTTAGGTTGTTCACCATTTCTTATTTAAAGATTATAAAATGATGAAACCGTAATTAGGCAATCTAATATAATTATTTTATTTAATATTTTCGAAAATTTCTAAATGTAATTAAAATAAAAAATCAAACTGTTATACCGAAATTTTAAAAATAATATACACTATCTAAGAACATTCTGTAAGCTAAAATTAGGTTTTGATCTCAGAAAAACATCACATACGATGTGTTAATTGTTAAAAATCATAGATCAAATAAATGTGATTATTATGTTAACGGGTTGATTTTTTAAAAATAATTATTTATTCTTTTCACAAAGTTTTACAGGTTCATAGTGTATAAATTTTCGCTGCTTCGTTATCTTACCTTTTTTTTTTTAAATATTTTAGCTATGAGTAGTTGTTTGTAAAATATACTATTAGAAACAGTTTCAAATTTAAATTGGACTAATTAAAAACGTTACATAAAATATCTGGACCCTTTCAATAACATGTATGTTCGTTAGGCAATTTTTCAATGATAAGAGGTTTTCATGGTTGATATTTAGGCCTAGGCTAAATAGAACTAATTCCCTAACAATATAACAACCCCATTTATAAGATGAGTTTGTTATAAAAATACGATTTATAGAACACTTTAAAACTTGAAAACTAAGGATTTTTAAAAATATGGTTCACATTTCAACATGTTTGGTTTTTATTTCCAGTTATATCATAAAAATATGGTTCACATTTCAACATGTTTGGTTTTTATTTCCAGTTATATCATAAAAATATGATTCACATTTCAACATGTTTGGTTTTATTTCCAGTTATATCATAAAAATATGGTTCACGTGTCAACATGTTTGGTTTTTATTTCCAGTTATATCAGCCGACAAAGTGGAGAAGGCTGGAATCGCAGCTGGAGTCGTTGCCATTATTATCATTCTTACAGTCATCATCATTTATTTGATTGTACGCAAGAGGTGAGTTTTGGCAAATTCTTACAGTCATCATCATTTATTTGATTGTAGGCAAGAGGTTAGTTTTTGGACTTTGTTTACGTGTTCATGTTTTGATGGTTGCTGGGTCGTTACCTGTGACGTAGTGTTGGTTTGTTCAGGATGGTTGGTGGTTGTTACCGCTGAGGTTGCGTGGACGTTTGGCTTGTTCAGGATGGTTGGTGGGTTGTTACCTGTTAGGTAGCTTGGAATAAACCGTTGGTTTGTTCTGGATGGTTGGGTTGGACATTTCACTAGAAAGGGTTTTTTAATATTTGTTTTATAAATATGTTATGTTAAATTGGTTATTTATTCTGCTCTTTATTTGGAACTTATTCTAAGGCACTTGAAAATTGTTATCAAATTTCAGGATTCTTTTTACTATCGTCTTAATTTTTTTAAACTATTTTCAGACCTCCATTGTCAAATTTGTGATAAGTTATAGTAATTAAAATATTAGATAATCAACATTTTTAAAATACCTAGTATAACTCCTTATAATCAAATCACTTACTCATACAAAACTCCATTAACAAAATTTATAATGTTGGATTTATACGTGACTTTCATGAACATACTGTTTGTTTGTTAAAAACTTCTGTTGGGTTTTGTAAAGTTAAAAACTTGGATGTTTTGAATGTCATCGGGGAAAAGATGGAGAAGTGGTGGACGGTGGTAAACGTTTTGTGACAAAGGAACATCCGTGGGGTAGATTGGTTGGGGATGGGTTGGGTGGGGTGTAGGTAGGATGAGGGATTAGTAATGTTTAAGGGGGGGTAGGTTGTATTGCTTTCAGACTTTTTATTCCTTGAGGGGGCGGGGCACTTGAAACGTTTTGGGGCGGAAAAAAGTATATATTTCCTATAAAAATTCTTATTCTTTCGACGTAAATAGATGCCTGAAAGAAAATCTGGGTTACGGATAAGCTAGGTATATGTATGGTGAGGGTAGGTTGGCTGGAATAGGTGTTGTGAGAGTAGGCAAAGTGAAGGATAAGTTAGATGGGGAGTAGGTGGGACAGGGATGGGCGGAGTAGGACAGGGATAGGCGGAGTATGACAGGGATAGGCGGAGTGGGATAGGGATAGACAGAGAGGAATAGGGATAGGTGGAGTGGGATAGGGATAGGTGGAGTGGGGCGGGGAAATGCGGAGTGGGATAGGGATAGGTGGAGAGGGGTAGGCGGAGTGGGATAGGGATAGGCGTAGTGGGGTAGGCGGAGTGGGATAGCGATAGGCGGAGTGGGATAGGGATAGGCGGAGTGGGATAGGGATAGGCGGAGTGGGGTAGGCGGAGTGGGATAGGGATAGGCGAAGTGGCGTAGGCGGAGTGGGATAGGGATAGGCGGAGTGGAATAGGGATAGGCGGAGTGTGATATGGATAGGCGTAGAGGGGTAGGCGGAGTGGTATAGGGATAGGCGGAGTGGGGTAGGCGGAGTGGGATAGGGATAGGCGGAGTGGGATATGGATAGGCGGATTGTGATAGGGATAGGCGGAAAGGGGTAGGCGGAGTGGGATAGGGATAGGCAGAGTGGGGTAGGCGGAGTGGGATAGGGATAGGCGGAGTGGAATAGGGATAGGCGGAGTGTGATAGGGATAGGCGTAGAGGGGTAGGCGGAGTGGGATAGTGATAGGCGGAGTGGGATAGGGATAGGCGGAGAGGGGTAGGCGGAGTGAGATAGGGATAGGCGGAGTGGGGTAGGCGGAGTGGGATATGGATAGGTGGAGTAGGATAGGGATAGGTAGAGTGGGGTAGGCGGAGTGGGATAGGGATAGGCGGAGTGGGGTAGGCGGAGTGGGATAGGGATAGGCGGAGTGGAATAGGGATAGGCGGAGTGTGATAGGGATAGGCGTAGAGGGGTAGGCGGAGTGGTATAGGGATAGGCGGAGTGGGGTAGGCAGAGTGGGATAGGGATAGGCGGAGTGGGGTAGGCGTAGTGGGATAGTGATAGGCGGAGTGGGATAGGGATAGGCGGAGTGTGATAGGGATAGGCGGAGAGGGGTAGGCGGAGTGAGATAGGGATAGGCGGAGTGGGGTAGGCGGAGTGGGATATGGATAGGTGGAGTAGGATAGGGATAGGTGGAGTTGGGTAGGCGGAGTGGGATAGGGATAGGCAGAGTATGACAGATTGGGCAAGAGAGGTTTTGGTGCTAAAAACAGCTAAATATATTTAAGACGCCGATATTTAAACCGTCTACTATAATGTAAAACTAGCAGAGTTATACAAAAACTAACATGGCCTCTTTTTGTGACGTCACACAGGAAACAGAGGAGGATGAGGGCAGAAGAGAACGGACGATCTAATGGCCATGCATGTAAATCATTGTTAACTGACCAAGACAATAAAATGGTAAGCCATGCTCATAAACTATGAATTCATAACAATATTTCAATTTGAGTGATGATTGTATTTTTACAAGCTTGTACTTAGTTCACAACGTCTGTTTTTTGGGTTTGTGGCAAATCTTGTAACTCAATTTTGACCCACTTCTAATGCACGATTTCGTTCAAATTTTACAGAAAACTTCTACCTCGAGAGTTATGCATGAATATTTATTTTTTAATCTAATTAGATATAAGATAAGTCAATAAAAATTTATTAAACAGTTTCGAATTTATGGGAGGTGGGTGGGACAGATAACAAGATATTAAAAGCTTGCGAAAATATGCAAATGCTCTCTTGAGCAATAAAAGCTGTTATAAAAAAAGCAAGTTAGATTTTTTATCTTATTTTCAGTGCATTTAAAATCTTGTTACTAGAAAGTGTTTTTTTTATATTTGTTTTATTAAAATGTAGCATCAAAATCCCTCATTTTATTCTGCTCTTTATTAGAAATTATTCTAAGGCACTGTAAAATTTTTATCAAATTTCAGGATGGATTTTTTTACTATCTCGTCTTAATTTTTAAAACTATTTTCAGACCTCCATAGAGCTCGAGGAAGCTGTGACATTAACAACAAAAGTATGACGTTTATCTGCCTAATGCTGGTCTGCTGGTCTAGGAGCAGTCTGCACATGGACCCAGTGGCGTAGCTAGGGTTACAATCGACCCCGAAGTTACACTAGGGGTCCAATAGATCCTTGGGCACATCTGTTTCCAAAATAAAATAGCCGATAAAACACACACACACACACACACACACACACATATATATATATATATATATATATATATATATATATATATATATATATATATATATATATATATATATGCATTGTACATAGTGCTCTAAAAAGTGTAATAGCTTTGCTACTGGATATCTTAAATATTGAAAGAGGATGTGATTATCATCCAAGAAACCAGCATAGGTTTATCAAACTAGACCAGTTCACCAAACGAGACTTTGATAACCGCGACATAGACCAGCATGGGTATCATAAGAGACTTTGTATACTGATGTTGACAATGGTTGCATAGAGCTTGACTCGGAATCCCAAAGATGGAGTATGAGATTCGTCCATCACGTTATTTGTATGTTAAAACTATGAAAGACGGTTCCTTAGAGAGGTTCCCAGAATATTCTAGTCTTAATTATTGTAAATATTTTGATTTTGTTTTTTAATTTATATTTTGATGATTGTTTTCAATTTATGGGTGAATGGAATGTAATTTATGATTTCCTTTGTAAAAAAAATAATTAATTAAATTAGTAAATATACGTTTTGTAAAGATTTGTGATAGGTTATAGTAATTAAAATGTATTAGATAATCAACATTTTTAAAACACCTGATATAATTCCCTTTTATTCAATTTCTATAATTTAATGCCTATTCTTCATAAATACAGACAAATCAACGTTTACAAATGACTTACTCATACAAAACTCTTTTAACAAAATTTATAATGTTGGACCTATCCGTGACTACTTTCCTGAACATAAATGATTGATTACAAATCAACTATTGTCTCTCAGATTAATAATGATAAAAATATGATTTACATTTTATTTGGCTTAATTTTTCATTACTTTTATTTCATTATCGATTTTTATTATTAATTACTTTTGAGTTTCTGATTATTTTCCGTGTTAATCTTTTTAGTTTCGATTATGCTTATATTTTGTCTGTAGATACGTATGATAAATTGTTTTGTATTGATGTGATAACTGGTATGAGCTGTGACATAAAATATGTTAACATGTTTTTTTTTATTGTTTAGGCTATGTTTTTCTAAATTCCCCATGACTTTTAAAATTTTTCTGTAGTGAAATATAACTGCATGTATGGGATACAAATGGGCACAAAAGATGATTAATTGTTATGAAGTGATAAAATGATATTTGTACGTCATTTGTAAATAGCTTGACATGAGCATATTAGATGTATTACAGTACAGCACATGGAGTGATGTAAACATTGTTATGCTGGTCGATATGATTGTGTTAGAAAAATATTCATGGCAGTTATATCAAACCAATATAGCACAAAAATTGTATTTTTACTCGAGAGTCTCAACTCATTAAAATGCTAGCTATGTTTTACTAAAGATTTATCTAAACTTTCGCATACGAAGTATTGTATTTCTGCGTTTACAAATTAAAAAAAAAACAGAAATTGCACTGAAAATATAGGACGAGCTATCTAATGGTTGTCATAATTATTCAAATACATTTTCATAGCCTTCATGTGTATATGATATCAACATTTCTTGTCCATCTAGCGTGCGACAAGGTAGTGAAATATTCTATAATTTTATAAAGAGCATTTTCTATTAATTAAAACCAATTCAACCCATAAACATATACTTTTATTCTTTAAAATTTACCTTTTTCTTTCTAGGCTCTATATGTTACAATAAGTTTAATATTTATTTTCGATTCAAAACAAAACTGCCAACATAAACAATAAAACAGAAAATTTCAGCTTTATCCGTGTATACAAATATTATTACTATGCAATGTTTTATTTTCTATGAAACAGCACTGCATTATAAATTGCACGAGGACTGTCTGAAATGTTGAATAATTTTATGTCAGTTTAAATAAAGAAACAAGTTTGTATCATTTTTAATTTAATTGAAAACTAGATAACAGCTGTAATTGTAACAATTAAAAAATCAAGTTAGAATAGTAGGAACTAAAGTAAACTTGAAATATAATTATATTTTTGTATTTACTTAAAATGTTAATTTTTAAATTTTCGATTTCCATAATGTACATAGTATACCAATTATAATCATTTGTTTTTTTTTATGTATAAATTTATTTATTTTGACATTTTCGAAAATGTATCCTTTAAATTTCAAATGACTTATAATTAAATCATTTTTATACTCACATAAAAAAATACTATTATTAGTTTTGTATTGATGATATTTGTGCTGTATGTATGCACTGTTCTCAAATTCAACTCTTCTTGTTACTAAGTTTAAGAACTATGCATTTTCTGTTAGAGCATTGTTAATCTAGCAAACACAAGATCATCTAAGCATATTTTTGCTGGAAACAAAGAATTAATTTAATAGAAAAATATGATTGATTTTGTTTGATTGAACTAATTATTTGTTTGAAGCAATATCCTAGTCTACACCAAAGCAGTTTGATTGTTTGTGTGTATCTAAACTTAAATTGAATGAAGATTTACTTTAAAAACTGAAACATTAGGCCAAATTTATTTCTGGTTATTATTTTTAATGGTTAAAAAACTCAAAAGAAATCATAATGTACAACAGGATAAATACATGCTTTATTGTGTTTCTATTTTAATCATTGTATGTGTTTATTAATTTATTAGTCCATTCCTGGATGCAGATTTTGTCTTTTTTATAATATCCTAAACAGGAAGCCATCTGTGTAAAAATAGCAGCCATCTTGATTTGGTGGCATTTCTGAATATGAGCAAAGAAGCTACATAAAAATTAAGCTGCTCAACGTAAAACAAACTTTAATTGATAATTTTAAAAATCATGTTTAGCCTTCGATTAATGAAAATGTTTACATTGAAAATAAATTTGATTTTAAACCATTGCCTTCTTGAGGTTTACTTAATAATGGAACAAAAAATGCTAATCATTTTAAAGAGACTCCTGCTGATGCTTGCTCACTTTTAAAGTGACATGTAGGGGGTTAAACCCAGAGGCGTCGCAGGGCGGGGGAGGGGATGACACCATGCGGTACACCACCGGTTGACACCCGACCTAGCGACGCCTCTGGTTCTACCACAGCGAAAGTAAAGGGGAGCGGTAGGGAAATTAAAGGGGGGAAATTGTGTCTGCTAAGCCAATTCCATCTTGGAAGCTATTCTTAAGGTAAGGGTAATCAGTTTTGTGGGACCATCTGCATTGATTATTCGAGGCAGCTGAGTTTGACAAGGCAGGTTCCATCATTATTGTTGACATGAATTTTTAAAAACACAAAAAATCTGGTGTAGATTTGTTTTTTCGATTGTGCCATTATATCCGCCGAAAAAAAAAACAATTTAAAAAACTTAAGCCTCACAATATTTCAGGAATATATAAAATATGTTTTATTAAAAGTCGCAATGCAGAGAACTTGATTTTTTTTTTTTTTTTTTTTTTTTTTTTTTTTTTTTTTTTGCGTTTAACGCTAGATTTCTATTTATTTGTATCAAGTCTTAATTATTACGTAAAGTTTCACATTCGTAAGACAAATTATATTGATTAACGGAACAGGAACTCAGTTATCGATCTTCTAAAAACTTCACTTTGAAGTATATTGTACTCAAAATACAATTTTTAAATACAATATTTAACCACATGACTTAGTTCTGCGATATTTATTTAATTTCTCCGGGATAAAATGATTTTTTTTAATCGAACATACTGAAACAAATAATGACATTCAATTTTTACAAAAACTTCAGAGTAAAGTTTTTAGAACCACATTAATTTTAATAACATCTCCCACGATTTTAAAATATGAAACAAATCATTCGAGAATGTTCACACAATCTACTCACTCATATACATACAGACAAAGAGACGACGTAGATATAGGGTCCTACATTCACATGGGTCTTCAGTACCGGAAAATTGAAAATATACACGTTTTATCGCATTGAGGGTGCTCATCATGGGTGGACTGGTCCGCATGTCTACTGGCAAAAATCCCGGTGGGCCCCTAAGAAAAAATATCCCGATTAGGCCGCGGGAACAGTGCTGCACTATGTCTCTTAGTGCTTTGATTTTTTTTGTTTCATATAATATCACATGAATCAAGCAGAGAATGATCATCAGACTTTAACGGGGGAAAATGCACTATGAAAATTTGTATCTGGGGTGGGGGGGGAGCTCATTTTAAAATGTCCCGGGCCTCTTGGACACAGCCAGTCTACCCCAGGTGCTCACACGTAACCACCAGACGGCAGCTGGCTGTCTCAGGCTATCTTCTGCTCTTCCTTTACACATGTCAACAAATACCTGAACATGCCGGTCTAGACAACTGTCTCAGACGAACTTCATTATGTCTGTACGCGGGTCTACAGCTAGCAGGTATATAATTATATATATACGAGCGTACCCGACCCCCGCGCGTTGCCGCGGGGATAGAAGAAAGTTTGACGAAATATATTAGGATTTCACCAAAGCGTTATCAATTATAATTATATGTTCTTAGACGCGTGACCTCCTTTTCTAAAAATGAGTTATTTAAATGTAAACAATGCCTGTTCTTGGATCATAAATATCAGGACACGTGTTTACCTACACTACCGCATGAAAACCTTGAGTGTACATTAATCACTCACCGAAATAATATGGTACAACACACTTCGGCGACCGCCTCTGTGTCAGAGACGTAGAGGGGCGCTCTCAGGGCCCCCACCCCCCAATTACACTACCGCATAGGCGCGGCGTACGACCCCTGGCTCCTTAAAACTAACAGGCGCCATCGGCCAAAAAGCATCCTGTTAATAATGATGCAGATTTCGTCATTCGCTAAAGTGACACAAATGAAGAGGATTTTTTTCTTTAACACGTAAAAAAATTATTTGACGTGTTTTAAATATCAGTGTGACTGATGCAATATGCTAGCGTTACTAATGGTCTATTATTAGATGCTCGATCTCAATTTCTGACTGGATTGTCTAATAATAGATGCTTATTGCATCATTCGCAAAGTGACGAAACTCTACAGTAGGCTACTCATATTCAAAAAGTTATTTTTTCATCTT